AACCAGCATGCGTGGTGAGGTTACTCCGAACCCGTATGGGAAAAGCAGCGTTGGAGGAAACGGGAATCGCGGAGGGAAAGAATTCGGACTCGGTGACACTTCAGTTGTTGCTGTTGGTCTCAGTTCCCTTGCGGTTCTCGCCGTGGCCGTCGCCGTGGTGATGGCGCCTCTTTGAGCAGCAGCATCAGCGGCTGGGCAGAAAAAAAATATGCGGTGGGGCAATAATGTGTATATATATATATATTGTATCTGTGGACAGTGGAGCCACGCATTCAAGATGTATAACACGGTTATAATGCAACGTACCCACACACATTAACTGCGCCTCGGCGCTCTTTTTGTAACGCAACTGCAACTCCCGCTTTGTACTACCACCATTCCTGCGAAATGCACGGAACTGTTTTTTTTTTTTTATATTGTTTTTCTGTTTGTTTTTGGTGGGCGACCTCTCTCTTTCTTTCTGGACTGTGCTCAAAGGGAAGGAGGAGAGCATGTGTGTGTGCTGGTCGTCCCACTTCTCGGTGGACGTGCCCACGCTTCGGCTTCACTTTACGGGGTTTGTGTTTTAGTATTTTTATGTTTGTTTGTGGTTTTTTTGTCGACTGCGTCCATTCCCCGCGCTGCGTGTGTGTCCTTCCAATGCATTTCTGTTTCTACGCCTAGCTGCCATTCGTGTTGATTTGCCGTCTCATTGTATCTTGCAGCCCTTCTTTTTTTCGTTGGTTTTTTTTTTTTCCAGTGCAGGTCGTCTGCATGTGTAGGAGCTAACACACACACACACACACCATGTCGCTCACGTTGTGGAGCGGTGGGAACCTTTGAGGACGCGTGAAGGCACGAGTGTTCTGGTGGCGGCGGCCCTCGCCAACATGCCAGTGGCGCTCAAGCCGTGATGGTTTGGCCGCGAGAACGGGATGGAGGAGGTGTTGCTGCAATTTTGGTCAGTGCGGCCGCTACCCCGCGCTGCAGACGGAGGAGGGCTGCGTCTTCGAGTCCGTCGCCATCCTGCGGCACATCGAGCCTCTCGATC